TTTTTTTTTAGCTCTATCGGGTCAGATACTGGGGGTTCTACTCGTAATCCCGCAGCATATTGTGGCGTTGTTGGCTTAAAGCCCACATATGGTCTGGTGTCACGTTATGGTCTCATACCTTTAGTGAATTCCATGGACGTACCCGGCATTTTTACGCGGAGTGTTGGTGATTGCTTGGATATACTGAATGCAATCGCTGGGCCAGATGCTAAAGATTCCACTACATTGAGAAACCCCTTCCGAAAAATAGAAATACCATGTTTTGAAGATATAGATCTTCGAAATGTTCGGATTGGTATACCTAAAGAGTACCATTGCGAGGGACTTTCCGGTGAAGTTTTGGAAACGTGGATGAAGGTCGCTGACTTATTAGCAGATGGTGGAGCTCAAGTGCAGCAAGTTTCACTACCGAACACGGCGGCAAGTATTTTCGTATACTCGATATTGAATCAGTGTGAAGTAGCTAGCAATATGGCGCGATACGATGGCATAGAGTATGGACATCGTGCCGACAATGAAAGCAGCACAGAAGAGTTATATGCAAAGACAAGAGCTGAGGGATTTAACACAGTGGTAAAAACACGTATACTAACTGGGAACTACTTTTTGTTGCGTAAAAACTATCAGAAATATTTTGAAAAAGCACTGCGTGTTCGAAGACTAATATCCGAAGATTTCAAACATGTATTTGAAAGGCCTAAAGACGGTGAAAATGTAGTGGACGTACTACTCACACCCACCACCTTAACAGATGCGCCGTTGTATAGCGATTTTGTATCCCTCAGTAATCGCGATCAGTGTGCTGTCCAAGATTTCTGCACGCAACCCGCTAATATGGCAGGCATACCAGCTATCTCAATCCCCATACGACTCTCCAAAACCGGCCTACCGATCGGGTTACAATTAATGAGTCGCTCTCTTAACGAGGAAATGCTGTTACGGGTGGCTAGCTGGATAGAGGCACAAGTAGAATTCGACTGTCTGGCTAATGAACAAATTTATGCAGCTCGTAGCTAGGATTATTGCTAATAACCAGCACTGTAATGTTTTATTATTCAATTCTAGGGTACAGTTCTTGATTTATTTATAAAATATGCAGCTCATTGGAAAATATAGTTACATATTTTTCCTTAATTCACAAATACCCTAAACAACATTTTTTTTTTGAAACTGCGTTTTTCGAAGATTTTGTTAGGAGGTATTAAAGTACACTTTCAATTAAAATTTTAAAATGCTAGTACCCAAAAGAGTTGCATGCCGCTTTTTAAAAAGTCCCACCTGTTTTTGATACTATTTTTAAAATGTTTCTGGTTGTTGGTTAAAGCCTTTGTGAATTAAGATAACGATATGCAAAAACTTAAAAATGGTTCCTAATTTATAACGTTGGTTATCAAAATACACAATGTTCATAGTCGTTTAGGTGCTTAACCTTAATTAATTTCAACCAAAGCAATATTTGTATTACATAAATGTTCTTAACAAAGTAAGTATGCTTGTATTTTTCACCAGTTTAATTAATTGTGTTGTATGGTTTGTTTTGCTTAGGCCGTCTTTGTATCCCGTGTGACTGCGAGGAAACTAAAAATATTGTCATAGTTATGTACTTAAGTGCATACATATTGCGTATTTTAGTAAAACGAATGTGCTTTTTTTACTAACCTTTTCTAAGATTTTGTAATTGACGCACATATTTCTTATGTTCTGTACGATTTAACCGAAACGTTCCAGACGCTCCATGACCGGTAGTTTGACACAGCTTTCCAGTGGCAATAGAAGATGCAATGTATTGTGACACAGGTTTTGAAACTGAAAATTATTCAACACACTTTAACAACTTAAATTAATTATTTGCAATAATATTAACCTACAAGTAATAGGATTGTACGAATGATTCTCTCTTATGGCCTTTTTGATCGCATATAAAGAGACCCCTCTCCGTTTTTTAAAAGTATGCGAAAATATGCATTCATCAACCAATTTTCGCAATTTTAACTCATAATGCGTTACGTTTAAACCAGTAATAGATGATTCAACATTTAACATTTCTTCCCGCCTCTGATTAAACATAAGTGGCCGAAGGTGTTCCACTTGGCTTACATTTTTCAGCATCGAATTTTGTATACGTTTAATCTAAAGCGAAATTTGTAGTGTTTAATTATTAGTGTTTTCAAGATCACTAAATTATTTTTTAGTTTACAGGGCTGTTAATATCCTCCCGCTTACGCTGGTGATGATTAGGCGTAGAATGTGTGACAGTCCCTTGTGTTTCTCCATATAAATCAGCCCGAATTTGGTTAGACCGAGGTGAAGTGTGACAAATATCGCGACTGCGAAGCTTATGTACCATTTCAGTGGGATTTTAATTAGATCACACTGATGAAGTATATATGTATAAATTTAGATGAAAACAAACTTGAATATAATTAAATTAACTAAATACAAAGTCTATGAAAATCACTGGAATCAAATATTACACTGCAAAAGCTATTTTATGTAGCATTAGCAAGTTGGTATTTATTTCCGTTAGAAATAATGTTTTCGTACTGCTAGCAATGGGTGCGTTTAATCTTACTTTAAGAGCAATTATGTATGCAAGAATGGTGTGAATTCAGTACAGGTTTAATATTGTCTCATTTTCTTTAAACCGCTAGACGGTGAAATCCACAGTTCTATTATAAAAAAAAATAAATAAAATGAATAAAACAATTATTGCACTTTTGAGAAAACTTTGCAGTAATGTATTTTATTTGAAAGCATAAATATGTATATAAATTCTGTTATTTCACATTGAATAAACTTGTAAATACACACATACAATTTAAATAAAATAAAATTGAATGAAATGCAATACTTGTATGGCAGTTCGGAGCACTCCGGTTGATGGTGCTGATAATCTTATATAACGATGACTTTCACGGATAAAATTGTATCATACTTAGCTAGTCATCCTTCCCTCCTTAGTGCTACCGATGCCAACATTATTTCCTGTTGTCATTGGCAAAGAAAATGCATACAATCACTTCCCTTTGACTGCGCTGATAATCATACGGAATGCGCTATTGCAAGACAACACCCAGAATGGCACAGATATCGCATGGTCTATCCCTGTTGGGAAGCTCAGAAGTACACCAATTGGTTCAAAACTTACACTTTCATTAAACACAAGCACGGGTGTATATCGGTTGCGCAGAGTTAATATGAAAAGCGCTAATGAGATGATACCTTTTAGAAGGTAGGTGACAATAAGTTCGACGGATGCACCTTTAATACGTTGCATATTGCCTTCACTACGAATCTTCGATTGTATGGCTTTAAGTTCGTTTTCAGCTCGCATCAATTTTACGGTATACGTGTAGTGACTTGTAGCAGCGGCTGACTGCCGCACGCGGTCAACTTTATCGCGAGCTTCTTTTAGTTGCTGTTGTAGCTCATCGTTGGAGCCAGATCCGGAAACACATCGAAATATTCTGGATAGTTGCAGCTATTAAATAAAGTTTAAGTGATGAATTAATTGTTATCACATGGGTTTTAGGCGGCACCACTCACCAATTTGACGAGGTCCCCTATAATAGCCAAAAGCAGGCACAGCGTCGCAATAGTTACCAAAAGGAACATTTTTTGTGTGAAATGGATAGAGAGCGTTTAAGGCCAGGTGGATAAAATTCCGTTGTGCTATAATAAAGTTTTCTTTAAAAATTGTGGTTTTAATTT